CTCGATTCTGATAAGTTCGTCAACTTGGAATAATTAATCCCGACTTATAAAGTCCATTTCTAAAATCAACGGACCATGGTTAATTACTGAACTGGCTCGACTACTGAATAACCGAGAATACTTTCAAAAGAAAGTCGAACTTTGAACTGAAAGGCTTGATAATTGGGCTCGGAAACTAAGACGAGCATTATTATTAACAAAATAAAATAGTTCCAACTCGAAACTAAAAATATCACTTTTATTAATAATAGAATGGGCTATTACAACCTCGGCCTTAAGGTCGGCCTTCTCTGATTGCAAGGACGAGATCTGGACATCGCGATACACCACTTTGTCCTTTTTCTCTTCGAGCTCGGTGGCATTTGAGCGAAACTCATCCTCCACTGTCGTCAAACTCACCAGGGCCCTCCCCAAACAAGCTTTGGCGTAACTAAACCTGTAGGCACTGGAGATGGGGTCCCACGCCAACAAAGGGACCTTAGCCTCATCGATCACTTGAGAAGGTTGGTGATACTTGTTGGATATTTTGGGATACGCGACGGAGTGGATTTAAGTGAACCATTCCTCCGCAACTTCAGAAGGCAAGTTAAGATTGAGGACCCTTTCCTCGTCAATTGGCAAGTACGACGAACTCCTATCTTGGTGCACCGGAGTATTTCTCTCTCCCACGGTTTGACCGACGTCGTGTCTCATCTTGAACCAACGTTCCTCGGTGGCATGCGGCTCGCCGGCGATAGCATCTCTGGCCGCCGCTTCCCATCTCCAGTTCAGATTGCCGGCGAGCTCATCCCGTTTTATTCCTCAGCCACAATAGCATCCTCTGCAACTCGCCTGAACGGCGGCCCTTGCCATCAGTAAAATCAGGGTGCTGATTTACGCCGGGCTCGTTGGAGTGGGAGAGAGGGCGCTGCAAGAGATGGATGACGATGGTCGACGGTATGGTATCGGAAGCAACGACGGCGATCCGGTGGCGGCGGCGGAGACCGGGTGTTTGTGGGCTGATTTACGCCGGGCTCGTTGGAGTGTGTGTGAAATCGGGTCTTTGTGAGGGAGAGATGAGAATCAAAAAGAAATTGTGGGTAATACAGGTGTATTTACCAACTTACCCTTAATTACTGGTCAAATGTACATATTTGACCATAATAGTTGAAATAATTCCCAAATTGCCATTATCAATCATTATTTATGAAAATTTGACTTCATCATGGCCATTGATTTCATTGATCAAATGACGTAGGTTCATTCTTATTTCTTTCACTATTTCTCTTTCTTATATGATCTCTTCTCTACTATATATATTTTGGAATTATATAAATACACATTTCACAACTACTTAAGAATGACTACAGATATATCTATTTCTATTGTAATCATACAATAAAAAAAAATATTATTTTTAGATATTACAATGATACATTAAATATTTCGAAAAATTAAATCACATGAAATAAAACCCTCCTGCAAAATGGATTTGTAATATATTTAAAAATTTTAATATTATATGTATAAATATAACTTATATACTCTATGTTTAAAATTTAATACCATTATTTAATTTATAATTTTAATATTATATTCATATAAATAATACAATATTTTATTTATTATATACATGTAAATGCACCGGATCGAGTGAAAATCCTAAAAAATCAAAGCTCTTCCTCCGACCTTCGCCTCCGCTTCCTTCCACGTAAGTCCAGGCATGGTCTCATATTCTCAGGCATCTCCACTAAAATCGTTTGTTAATTTGTGAATTTGTAAGTGATGGTTGACTGCCATGTGTAGCTAAATTTGTTTGTAATTTTGTAGCTTAAATATGTTGCTAAATTTTGTAATTTGTTTGTCAACTTGTTGCAAAAATTGATTGTGAATTTGTAGCTGAAATTCTGAAATATGTTGTTGGATTGGAATTTTTTTCTTGTTGCAGAACTTGGGCCTTTTTTTGGACCGTGTTTTTTTTTCTTAATGATAAAAATGGCGGGCCTGGCCTGCCAAACCCGCGGCCCGAGGCGGGGGCGGGTTGGGCCTGCATTTCGAAGGCCCGCCAGGATGGCGGGTCAGCCCGCCCCGTCCTGCCATATGGTGGGCTTTGGCGGGTTACTGGCCGGCCTGTTTTGACAGCTCTAAATATAACCAACTTGAACATCATATTTACCTAATAAACGCAGTCTAATAGGCATAGCCACTGCGAGCACACCTATCAAATAGATACAATCCCTAAAACTCATACATGAAAACCATTTAGGAGCAACTAAATATGAGGATAAAAATCTTTGAACATAATATCTATATGTTCCTACGGTTTTGTTATGGAGATCGAAAGACTCAACTAGAACTATCGGATGGCTCGTCAATGGCTCGACTTAACTAGATTGCAATGTATTCATGTCAAGAAAAATCTTTACCTAGTCGTGGCCAGTCAACAGGCCACGGGCCCTCTAACACACGGCCTGCAACCGGCCCGCTAAAAACTAAGGGCCGGTTCATAAGTTCTATGAACCGGCCCGAACCGCCGGTTCACCGACCCGTCGACTCATGGGCCGGGACGGGCCTTAAAAAATAAAAAAATTTACCAATGTGGCCCGCCATTCGAACCGGTCCGGCCCGGACCGATGAGACCAAAATACAAAAATATGAAACTGGGACCGAACCGCGACCCTACGGGTCCGGTTCAATAAACCGGCACTTAAAGTTCTCGGTTTGGGCCGGGCCGATGCCGATTCACGAGTCGGTTCGACCCGTGAACATGTCTATCTTTACCTTAACAACTTTATTTTATTGACTTTTAACTGTGTTAAAGTGTTTTTACCACATTTTGCTTCCCCTTGGAAATCCTCTTCTGCCACTCAGGATCTTTTTTGTAGGTTAATTTGACTTTTCCTATATGATTACTTTTATGTTTATTTTAATTTGTCTTTTTCTAGTAGCTTCAGCCATGTGATTTACTGGCTGCAGCAACAAATTTTCTTAAGTTATGTGTACAAACATGGCAGACTGTCAGATCTCTGACAAAAAAAGGTGTGTGAAATGTGAATCCTCTTGGTATCTCTTATTTCCCAGTCCTCGTCATTTCCAATACTACTTAAAGATAGGGAAAAATCTTTTTCACCCAAAATAATTTAATCTTCTACACACTTAACAATTTAACATTTTTCCCACACACAAGTGCAAAGGTCATGTACAGAATGACAACATATTTGTCCCATATACATCACATATAATGTTTTTGTATTTTAACTTTTTCCACTCATAAAAGTGCGACGTGTTATGCGAATGGACCATATATTGGTTGCATAGTCTCACAATTGTCGCATACTTATCGTACAATACCTTCGCAGTTTCTGCGGTAAAAAAGTTAATTAGCTTATCAACTAAGCGGTGTGATAAAGTCACAATAGTGTATTCATTTAGGATTTCGAGTGACATTTTTAGATCAGAGCCAGGTTTTTATAGTACTTTTTTGAAGTCAAAGATGAAATATAGCCATGTTTCTAGGAAAGATGAAATCTAGCCATTTTGGTAGGCAAAAGTACCATTGTACCCTTATTAATGTTTTACCAAACATATTAAAAAAAAAAAAAAAAAGCAAAAAAAAAAAAAAGCGTCCCAGCCGCTGCTGCATCTCTTTCTCTCCTCTGCCGCTGTAAACAAAAAAAAAATCTCATCTTCCAAAAAATTATTTAAAAGTGATCTCTTTTCAAATATCATCTCCAACATCACCAAGTGAATCCCTTTTTGAGAAGAAAAAAGGTACATGAACATAAACTTAATTTTTTTTTTTTTTTATTATGTTAAATAAATTTTTTTTCCCAAAATTATTGATTTGTCTAGTAACATTATATTTTGTTGAACTCATATTTTTTTGGAGTTAAAAAAATAGGGTTTTTGTGCTTTAAAAAAATGGATTGTGTTTTGGAGTTCATTACTTTTGTTCTATTGTTACTTGAGCCGTTTTTTTTGGAGTTTAGGAGATGAATTAATGGTTTGTTGAAGAATAAACAATTTCTTGAACAAAACCACAATTTGTTGGTCAAGAAACTGGTTTCTTGAGAAAAAACGAGTTTCTTGAACAAGAAACCAGTTTTTGTTAAAGAAACCAGTTTCTTGCCAAGAAACCAGTTTCTTGCGCGAAAAAACTGTTTCTTGAAGAAATAACTGTTTCTTGAAAAAGAAAATGTGTCTTGTATTCATATATATTTTTGTCCAAACACATTTGAAGGTGAAAAAATGTGAAGAAAGTATTTGTACTAAGTTTTTTTATTTATTTATTTATTTTTTTCAGATGGATGTTGGTAAAGTGCGAATTGTTCATAGTGGCTTTTGGGATGGTAATGTGCACAAAAACGGTGAGACATAGATGAATTTTTTCTGTCTTAGGACCTAATAATATGAAGCTTTCATAAACAGAGTTCATGACATTGTTCATGGGGATAGAACCATGTGCGACTACCGATTTCACTTTTTAGTGGCCGGTGATGATGGAGAGGTGGAGAAATGGCGTATCACTTGTGAAGCAGATCTGCGAAATGTGTCTTCAATGTTCACAATACCTACTATCTATGTTACACTACAACGGAAAGATAGTCCAGCTCCGTATAATCAGGCAAGTGTACCAACGTACCCTTCGTATGGCTATACCGGGGGACAAGGTGGGTTTATGAATTTAGTTGCTGCTTAGGGCCCACCTCTCTATCCATATGGTATTGTGTATCCACCTATAATGAACTTACATAGTCGTCCATCAACATCTTATCCGACGAACAATTACAACTCGGTGCCTGATACCACCAGAAAGATGAAATCAAATCAACCCGGTTCCTCACGTCAATCTCCCGAACATGTCGATTGGGGTGTGGATAGCGGGTTGTATGGGGATTCAACTGGGAATGGTGAAGGTGATCATGACGGGCAATATTGTGATGCTTACAATAATGAGATGAACATCAACGATAATCCTTGCAATGACGATTTATTCAATGAGATGGATGATAGCAATGACGATTCAGATTTCATTATTGAAGAAGATGATATGTTTGGCTCAGAAGAAGGTGAAGACAACGATGACAATGTTGTGTCCCCCTCAAACATGATGGGTGGTTTAAATGAGCATATTCTACGCAACAAAAAGAGTATAGCGATCCACAATGTTCCTCAGCTTGATGTTTCTGGAGGTGTTGCTATTGAAGAGGACAATTTGAATGAAACAACAACCCGTTCGAGTAGTGGTTGGAGGATTCCCGAAGCCATTTTTCACAATGTTGATGTTCATCCCTCGTCTGAAGAGCCATCAATGATAGACCGTGAACTAGCAAAGGCGTTGTCATTGAAAGTAAGGAAGCTTTGTTGGTAAAAGTTGGTTTATACCATTTGAAGCATAAAGTGGAGTACCGAACACCAAGATCTTCAAATTCTCGGTTAAAGGTTGTGTGCAAGCATAAAGATTGCCCATTCTTGCTTTCTGCGAATGCACTGACTGGAAGTAGTTTGAATATTTCAAAATTTATCCATCCACATACATGCTTGGTTAACCTGAGTCATTCAGCCCCTCGACAATTGCCTGCAAAGATCATTGGAGCATTATTCGCGCTTAAGTTATTGACAGAGGGCCGAGTATTGAAGCCTGTAGAAATTATGGGTGACATGGAGCGTGATCATGGCATTAAGCTCAAATACAATACAGCTCTGAGGTCTCAAAACGCCGCCTACGACTTCATTTATGGAGATCACAGGAAATCCTGGGAACTTTTGCGGGCGTATTTTCATATGTCGATGAAGGAAAATCCTGGAACACCGGCATACATTGAGACCGATAAAGATGACATGTTTGAGTATGCTTTCATTTCGTTTCATGCGTCTGTAGGGTTCCTCAGTTATTGTCGGCCCGTTATTGTGATTGACGGTACGCATTTGAAGGATAAGTATAAAAGCATCCTATTTGTAGCAACTACAAAGGACGGAAATGAACAAATTTTTCCTTTGGCAGTTGGTATCGGCGATAAGGAATGTCATAGTGCGTGGATGTGGTTTCTCCAAAAGCTTCGCTCCACTTTTGGATGTCCTGAAAATTTAGTGATTGTTTCTGATCGCCACTCGAGCATAAAGTCTGCTATAGAGGTTGTCTACCCTGAAGCCGTACATGCCATATGTTCCTACCACCTTCGACAAAATATTCGAAGTCATGGGTGTAAAGCTGTTGGTTTATATATGAAAGCTTCATACACTTATTCTCCCGTTGTGTACGAAAAGTCGATGGCTATGCTTGCGGCAAAATATCATAACACAAAAAAGGTTTTGATTGATGAAGCCATTCCAACTAGGTGGGCACGAAGTCAATGTCCTGTGAGACGATATAGTTTCATGACGTCAAATGCTTGTGAGGTGCTTAACAATAGGTTGCGTTGGGCAAGGAAATTGCTTGTTTGCTCATTGTTTGAATGTATTCGAAACATTATGCAAGAGTGGTTTCACAAAATGCGTGTCGAGGCAGAAAATACTGAGTGTGAAGTTCCTCCGTCAATATCTAAGCGTTTAATGGATTATAAAACCGAAGCAGACCAAATGGAAGCTTCAAATATCAATCACTACGTTTACCACGTGAAGGACGGGGTCAAAAATTTTGTCGTCAATTTGAATGATCAGACTTGCACTTGTTATCTCTTTCAGGTGGATTTATTGCCCTGTTCACATGCGATTAAGGCTATCGGGTAATTTTTTCATTTTTTTTTTATTTAATAAAAGCCTCAACGTTTACATACATATTGTTATCTTACACATAAGAAAATGTTATATTGTGTTCCATTATTTTTTTAGGAAGGCAAACGAATCGGTGTATGGATATGTGCACGATTACTACAAGACCACAACATGGCGCAAACTTTACGAGCCCATAATCATGCCAATTGTGCATCCAAGTACTTGGAACTTAACTACAACACCTAGTTTGATGGTTGTCAAATGCCCTATTAATCCTAAGCAAGCCGGAAGACCAAGGTCAAACCGCATACCTTCTACTGGCCCTTCTTCGAGCTCTCGAAGTAAATCATTTTGTACACGATGCCATGAAAGTGGGCATTACTCTACAACTTGTGTTGCGTTAGTCCAAAATGTTGAGCAACCAACTCAATCTGGACGTTCCGCTACAAAGTTCGTTTGTGTGGTAAATGTAAGCAACCCGGCCACCGTAGGAACAAGTGTCCTCAAAACATTACCTAGTTTGTTTGTGGCAAGACATAATTGGGTTGTTATTTGTATGATTGATTTGCGTGTGGTTAATGTAATAACTTTGTGGAACATATCGATGTGTGTAGTTTTGTTATGTTTGTTGCAGTTATTTTTAAGATGAATGAAAGTTGAAGTGAAAACGAAACAAAAAGAAACACGAAAAAGAAGAAGTGGTATTTTGAACATCGAGCCGCAGTTGAACATCGAGCCGCGGTTGATGTACTCTCTCGGCCAACCTTGGTTGGGACATCAACCGGATGTGAATGATATTTTGAACAAGAAACCTAGGAAGAGCAATCGTCAGCCGCGGCTGAACTGCGAGCCGCGGTTGAGGTGCTCCCTCGGCCAACCGCAGTTGAGAAGTCAACCGGCTGTGAATGATTTTTTGAACTAATTTCTTTGGGAAGGACAATTTTTAGTCGCGGTTGAACTTCCAGTCGCGGTTCAGGTACTCTCTCGGCCAGTCGCGGTTGGAACATCAACCGGAGTTCAAAATTTATTTCTCAAGAAAAAAGGTACTCTATAAGAAACATAACCATCACATGTTCATAACCATCAAAACCATAACATGTTTCATAACCATGAAAACCATCAAAAGAAACAAAAACTAACATTGAATTCAACTCATCACATGTTCCATAAACATCAAAACAATCAAAACAAACAAAAACTAACATTAAACAGGAGTAGCGTTTTACAGTCCACAAAAAATTGCAAGAAGCAAAATAACTTTCACGGTGGATGAGTGGATGAAGAGGGAACGTCGGGTCCCATGGATCGAGTAGGGGCCAATGAATCCAAACGAGCATCAATTGTATCTAACCGAGCATCAATCGTCAGCCGCGGTTCAGGTACACTCACGGCCAACCGTGGTTGGGATGTCAACCGGGTGAATGACATTTTGAACTTTCAACCTAGGAAGAACAATCTTCAGCCGCGGTTGAGGTGCTCTCTCGGCCAACCGCAGTTGGGAAGTCAACCGGCTGTGAATGATATTTTGAACTTTCAACCTATCAAGTACAATCTTGAGCCGCAGTTGAACTTCCAACCTTGGTTAAGGTACTCTCTCGGCCAACCTTGGTTGAGATGTCAACCGACTGTGAATTTTCTTAGTTGTTCTTAGTTTGAAGCTATTTTTAGGAGTAATTTTCTTAGTCCTTCGCATTGTTAATTGAGCTTTTTCCTTCTCAATGTTCAACATATTCACCAACAAACTCTATGTTGAACAAACTCAACAACATGAATCAATCTACAAAAATTAACAACATAATGCAAATTACACCCAAAAACAACAATATTCAATGATCATAGTGTACACATATTCAACCCAAAAACAACATAAAACCGAAAATCCAACAAACTTTTACTTTGATTCCACAAGCTTCCCGTTTGCAAAAATAGCTAAAGCAATCTTCTTTCTATAAGCTACAATATCTTGTGTAGTCGGATTGTTCGGAAAGACGTCCCCAAGCATGCGCTCTACGTACATGCATGCTAACGGAACACAACTGAAGGTATCATTCTGGACTAATTGTTCATCTGCGGGCATAATGTTAATTGTGAAAGGGTAAGTTATAGGTTTTGCTCTCAATTTCTGAAAGTAGCCCGACTGTTGGAGTAAAGATGGCAGCAAGTGGGAAAGTGGGGCCAATGTCTGCGATCGACTTTGCAAGGAGTCCTCAGGATTGTGGGCCAAGGAGTCGTAGACATTGATCTCCCACTTCTTTAAGTCCACACGACATACCACCCAGTGGTCCCCTACGTTGCATACCAAGACGACCTGTCAAATTCAATCCATACATTGAATTAAAAACTTTTGTAGAGGTTTGATAAATTGCCGGAAACCACTATTTCATAATAAAAGCATCACTAATAAATCCAACTACTTACCTCAAAAATCTGCAGCCAAGGTTTACCCCAACTAACAGCTGTACCACGCACATATTTAATGATCGACTCAGGTGCCTTCCAATCAGTATAGACACCTTTAAGCTTTTTCCACTCTAGCTCGAACAAACTCTGATAAAAATGTTTTACCGTTAGCAAAACATTGTCAACTTAAAATATCGATATTATTCTATATTGATGATAACAATACTTACAAATAGAGTTGCGTCCTGGATGTTAATAGTTGAACCAGTACCTGTTGCTTTTACTTTCACTTTGTTATACAACCTTCGGGTAATTACCTCAAGATATGGATTAATGTGCTACAACATTAAAGTAGGGGATCTTATTAATATCAAAAAAGTGTGGTTGAAAACGAGCATTAAAATCCACAAAAAAAAGATTAATACTTACAATATGACCAAGTTTTTTTCGAAATCCCTCAATATATTGGAAGCAGTCTCGGCCATGTAAACACTTAGGCGTCTGCTCAACGTCGATCCTAAATAAGTAATAAACCATATTTATTAATGATAAAAAAACTCTATTTACAAAATGCAAAGATAATAAATAAATACTTACAGCGTAACATCTTTACCCTTCATCCATTTTTTGTAGGCGCGACTTCATTTTTCCTCTTCGTCCTTCTGCAAGTAGTTCACAAAGGGTGAACTTACTTTTTTGCCCAAGAACCTAATACGTCGTTGTTGTCGTGGCGCATTATCCTCATCATCATTCTCATCAATCGCCTAGGAGTTTTTTGAAGCAAAAGTATTAGTTGTAGGAGATTCTCGACAAATTCACAAATGTACAAACTTGCAACAAAAATTAGTTGTTGTACTCACTGCCTGCTCCACAGCCTCATGAGCAATCTGGACAATGTCAGGAGAATTATTCTCCTCATCATCCTTCTCATCAATCGCCTAAAAGTTTTGGGAACAATTAATATTTGTTTACGAGAACAGAAGTTTAATTATGCAAATAATGTACAAATGTTCGTTTACCTCATTCTCAACCACCTGCTCCGAATCCTGAGGGGACTTCTTCTCGGACCTCTCCTCATGAATCAACTAAGAGTTTTTAGAACAAAAAATATTAATTCTAGAAGAATCAAATTGTTATTCAGGAAAAAAAAAAGTACAAAAGTCAAATGCAAATGTAAATAATTTACCTCATGGCAAACACCTCATGCTCCTTCTTCTCCTCTTCTTTCGTAGCCTCCTTCTCTTTCTCTTCTTCCTCATCCTCGTCCTTCTTTTCCTCTTCCTCCTCTTTCTCATTCTCTTCTTTCTCTTCCTCTTCTTTCTTAGTCTCGTTCTCCTTCTCTTCTTCCTCCTCCTCATCCTTCTTTTCCTCTTCCTCCTCTTTCTCATTTTCTTCTTTCTCCTCCTCTTCTTTCTTAGCCTCGTTCTCCTTCTCTTCTTCCTCCTCCTCATCCTTCATTTCCTCTTTCTTCCTTTCTTCATCTTCCTTCTCTTCTGTCTCAGCCTCGTTATCAACCACCTAAGAGTTTTTGGAACATAAAATATTAGTTTTAGGAGAAAAGTACAACAAAACATCATGTTGTTCGGAGCTCATTCAAATCATGTGCATGCTTGAAATAAATAAGGACATGAATTTGCAAACTCTCCTCAACCCTTCTTTCATACCACCTCAACAACATAAAATCATCATGAAATACAAGTAAACCACTACAAGAAATTTCGCAAAAGACGACGAAAAAATTCGTCATGTAAGCCTTGTTTTTCGTCATAAAAGTACATTGATGACGAAATTTTTTCGTCACAGCGATCGTCACTGTAGCCGCGTCATATTAGGTATAGGTGAAAAATTTCGAATTTGTGACCAAATGTTTAACTTTTAATGACGTTTATAAGTTTCGTCATGATATTTCGTCACTTTTCGTGACAATAATTTCGTCACGTTTATTATTGAAATTTTGTCATGTAAATGATTATTTCGTCATAAAAAAACAAGTTTTAGATGACGAAAACTTAAATTTGTCATCGAAGTATTATTGTTTAGTGACGAATTTTAATTTTTTTATCGAATTTATAAAAATTTAGTGACGAATATATTTGTGGCATTTTCGTTAAAATAACCGTCATATTTTATAGAATTCGTCATGAAAGAGTTGTTTTATAATTACAAAATATTGGTCGTCACAAAAATAAATTTTAAATATGACGATACCAAAAGTGTCACAAAAAAATATAAGTAGTGACAAAATATTCATCGTCTCAAAAAATATACAACAACGACGAATTCTTTTGTCGTAAATTATTATCTCTATGATTACAAAAAAAAGATTGTCATCAAAAGATTGAGATATAATGACAACATAAGTTGTCATGAATAGGTAAATATTTAGCGACAAAATTTTTTGTCATTTTAACATTTCATATAGTGACAAATCCAAACAAATACACCACGATTACATGCTGTTTAAAAAATATTTTAAATGACAATTTAAAATTGTCACTATTACAAATATAATAATTGTCATTAATTGCAAATATTTAGTGATAAATTTATTTGTCATGAAATATATAATACAGTGACAAAACTATCGTCACTCCAAACAATTGTCATGAAAAAGAAAATACAGTGACAATTTATAAATAACATATGGTGATAATATTTTGCAGATGATAAATTAAAAAACGACAATAATAATAATTTTGCTAATTAAAAACTTCAATAAACGAACTAACAATCTCAAAATATTCCATAATAATAATAATAATAATAATAATAATAATAATAATAATAATAATAATAATAATAATAATAATAATAATAATAATAATAATAACAAAGCTAACAATCTCAAATTATGTTCTCATTGGCAGCCATAAAAGCCATAAGTTTGTCTACTTTTGCATTCAAATCACTAACTTGGTCCTTAAGCTCAATCACTTCCGATTCTTTCTCACGCAGCTTTTCTTGTGTCTCTAGAAGCTCTTTCTGACCATTCGAGTCATATGCCTTGCGTCTACTTGGCGGTCTCGGGCCATACCCATAACCTTTTATATATCCAGCTGCATGGCCAAGAACCTCAAGAAGTATATCTTGTGCACTCTTCTCAACGCCTTGTTCA